GTGGTTTTACCATATGAATGGCCTATCTTGGATCTTGCTTCAGACTTTTCATAAGCTTTCAAACAAGCAGCATCTGGCCTTGGTCTGTCCCTTGCCTCTTGTTAAGTGGCCCCAGGGTTGGCACTAGTGGCAGCCAACATTGGTTTGCAAATTGGCTTCTCTTGGGAACCTCCAAGCCCAGCACAAGTAACAGCCATCTGAAGATTGCTTTTTAGCTCATGATGGGTGGCCTCAGGCAGAACACACACGGTGCTGACTGACTTGGCCTGAACCTCCTGGGAGGCCTCAGAGCCAGCATATATGGTGGAAAGCTTCAGACCACATCAAAGCACCGCCCAACCACCTCCACAGGGACACTCAAGGGGCACTGGAGTCTTGTTGAACTAAGTCCTGCTCAGTGGGGTGACCCTCCACGGTGCTCAAAGCCAGTCCTTGCAGCCAATCGGCCTGGGGGTAAATTCCTCCTATTGATATGCCAATAGCAATCAAGGCTCAACCAACAGGATGGTGTTATACACAACCTGTTGTGTATTTGTTGGGGGATTGGAGTAGACAGCTGGAGTGATCGAGGAAGCTGTGATGCTGGACCTTACAGAAAACTTGCTACATAAGGCCACTTTACCAAGCTCAAGAAACATAGCAGCTTCACCTAGTACATAGAAACAAACACAGCATGGTGGCCTAAATGAAGAGACAAAGAAACATGTCCCAAATAAACAAAAAAACAGAACAAAGCTCCAGAAAGAGAACTAAACAAAATGGAGACAAGCAATCTACTCAATGATCTACTCAATGCAGAGTTCAAAATACTGGTTATAAGGATACTCAATGGACTTAGGGGAGGAGTAGATAACTTTAGTGAGAACTTCAACAAAGAGATAGGTAATAAAAAGGGAACTAGAAAAAATGAATAATACATTAACAGAAATGAAGAATACATTACAGGGAATGAACAATGGAGTAGAGGAAGAAGAGGATCAAAGAGGAAGAAGAGGATCAAATCAGAGGTTTAGAAGATAAGGAAGCAGCAAAAATAAAAATGAATCCAAAAAATGAGGATAGTTTAAGGAGCCTCTGGAACCTTCAAGTGTACCAACATTCACATCATGGGGGTACCAGAAGGCGAAGAGAGAGAGCAAGATATTGAAATCCTATTTGAGAAAAGAATGACAATAAAACTTCCCTAACCTGGTGAAAGAACTAAACATACAAGTCCAGGAAGCACAGAAAAGCCAAAACAAGATGAACCCAAAGAGGCCCACACCAAGGGACATCATAATTAAAATACCAAAGGTTATAGAGAGGATCTTAAAAGCAGCAAGAGAAAAGCAGTTAGTTACCTACAAGGGAGCTCCCATAAGACTGCTAATTTTTCAACAGAAACATTTCAGGCCAGAAGGCATTGGCAAGAATTATTCAAAGTGATGAAAAGCAAGGAACAATAACCAAGATTACTCTACCCAGTGAAGCTTCATTTAGAATAGAAGGACATATGAAGAGCTTCCTAGATAAGAAAAAGCTAAAGGAGTTCATCACCACCAAGGCAGTAGTACAAGGAATATCTAATTAGGGGTCTTCTTTAAGAAGAAGAAAAGATGAAAACAAGGATAATAAAATGGTAATGAGTACAAATATATCAAGAATTTAATCTAAAAATAAAATAAATGAATAAGCTGAACAGAAACAGACTCATAAAACAAAGAACATTTTGATGGTTGGCAGATGGGAGGGGATTGGGGGTATTGGTGAAAAAGTAATGGGATTAAGAAGAACAATTTGGTGGTTACAGAATATTCACAGGGATTAAAGTACAGCATAGAAAATATATTTAAAATATCTTAATAACTATGTATGGTGTAAGATGGGTACTTGATTTATGGAGATGATCACTTAGTAAGTTATATAGTGTCTAATCACTGGGTTGTACACATGAAACAAATATAATATTATATGTCAACTTTAATTGAAAAATTAAAACAATTTAAAGAAAAAACAAAACAAAACAAAACTGAATAGTGATGTGGGATGGGAAGGAGACCCAGAATCATGCTGATGTGCTGGCCCTGCCACCTCACTGAGCAGACTTTGCTCTTCAGCCTGGTCCATCTGTGATGTAATTAGAGAACGTATCTCTAATTAGACGGACACTTCCTGTGGCCTCTGTGTGTAATTCCTTCCGCAGGGCACCTGAGGCCAGCAGGGCGCTGGGCCCTTAGGGCCTATTTACTCCCTCTTTGTTGAACTCCTTCCTGACCCCCAACCCAAACAGTCAATAGTCTGTCTGCAAATGCAGCCTCATATGTTATGCCGATGTATTTAAAGTACTATGCAAATGAAGTTAAAAAGTGAGGACCTAAAGCTGGCTATGTCCCTGAGAGTATTCAAATGTTCATCCCCAGGAAACACCTGACAGACCCTCCACCTCATTAGAGGAATCCCTGTGGTTAGGGCCCAGCCCTGGGCTTTGGGGGAAGGTAGGGGACCAGGATGAGCAGCCCTTGGGTTCTCCTCTTTACCCCATAGGTGTTCAGGGCTGCAGGAAAGACCGGCTGCCAGGGAGCGGCTGCAAATGCGGGAGGGGCCCTCCGTCTGGGCTGTTCTGAGCAGGTGGGACATGCTGCCCATCGCCATGGAATCGGGCCTGCAGCCTTGTGCTGTGCTCGCCCAGGCAGCTTCCCCAGACAGCCAGGGCTCAGGCACAAGCATGGCAGTGGCTGTCCCGAGGAGCCTGTAGACCTCTGTTCCAATTGTGAACTCGTTCTTTCTAGCTGGTTCCTCCTGGAGGCTCCAGAAGGCTCTCCCAAGCCTGGTCTCTTCTGCCTCAGGGAATAGCTCTTAATCCACCCCTTACTGCCCCTTTTCACTGTTGTTACTCTGGCTGAGACCTCATCCTTCTGTCTCCTGGGGCTGTGCAAGCAATAGGCCCCACCAGTCCCGCTTCTAGCCTGTCTCCTCTTAGCTCGCAGAGTCTTTTAATATGCCCCTCCAGCCAGGTGATTCCCATGCTAAGGAACCCCATGGACTCCCACGTTCTAAAACAGTGATTTTCATTCCTGGCTGGACATTGGAATCACCAAGGGGTGCTTTTTTAAAATGCAAATGCCTGGGGCCCCATCCTCAGAGATTCTGACAGAACTGGCTTGGTAAAGTACCCTCCAGAACCATGTGTCAAAGCACTTTGTTGAAACCCCTTCCTTAGCGCAGCAGGCAGGGGCCCAGGGTGAGTGTCTTCTTTGCACCTGCCTTCCTGCTGTTCTCCCAGCCTCTCACTCCAGGCCTTGCTCTTTGTGCAGGCTCTGCGTCTCCTGGAACTCTGGCTCTGGGAGTGGCAACTCTTGCTCATTTCCAAAGCATTCCTGAACTGCTACCCTCTCTTTCGTGAATTCCTAAACTGCTGTCCCCTCTTTCATGAAGCCTGTTAGGGTCCTCACATGGAGTTGGTTAGGTCTTCCTTCTTTCCTCTTAGCCACACATTCACTGTTCCCCTAGAATTGCAAGAGCCTGTTTCACTGTCTGTCCCACTACCCGTGGTCGGCAAACCGCGACTCGCGAGCCACATGCGGCTCTTTGGCCCCTTGAGTGTGGCTCTTCCACAAAATACCACGTGCGGGCGCACATGTACAGTGCGATTGAAACTTCATGGCCCATGCACAGAAGTCGGTATTTTGTGGAAAAGCCGGTATTTTGTGGAAGAGCCACACTCAAGGGGCCAAAGAGCCGCATGTGGCTTGTGAGCCGCGGTTTGCCAAGCCGCAGTTTGCAGACCACTGCTAGCCTGACGCACTCAAAGGACAGGACTTTTATCCACTTTGCATATGTCTCTTCTCTTAACCATGGCCTACCCAGGACAGAGACCATGCGAGGTCAGTGTCTACACTCGTCAGTGCAGGGACTGTCTTGTAGTCACTGTGTGCCCATTTGTTTTAACATTATCTTCTTATTACATGATATAAACTGTTTGACATATGCTGCTCTGCTAACAATACCCTATAAGTGTAACCATTATGCCCATTTTGCAGGAGAGGAAACTGAGGCAAAGTAAAGGAAGCAGGGTAGAATACATGAGTGTGTAGAAATGTGTGGCTCTCTGTTCTTGTATAGACAACCATGGCGACTCATCTGGTTATGGGGCTGTGACCTTCAGCAAGCCCTTTGCAGTAGCAAAGCCTTCACAGATGACAAACTTTTGGAGGAAATAATTGCTACCCTCATGACTAATTTTCAACACAGTCTCCTTAGTAAGGTCGGCCAGCAATGTAGTGTGCACCAAAGACATCTAAGCCAAAGAACAAGAGAGGAATGAACTTCTAATAAATACCTACTATGCCGCCATCTGGCCCAGGCCTGATCGTAACTCTTCCCCTCAACAGTGACACAGAGCAGAAATGATGGCATTGCAGGCAATGAAACCGAAGCTCGGGCATGCTGGCCACTCAGCCAGTGTCCTACCAGGGGCCAGGGGAGGTGGGAACTGGCTTGTCTGTTACCTCTCCAACAGGACACCTCCTCTGCCTGCACACCCTCAGGTTCTAGCTTTCCTCTTCTACCTTTTCCTTTAAAAATACTTTATTTACATATGCATTAGTAGAAAAATATAAGAAAACAAAAAATGCCTGTAACCTGACAACCCAGAGATAAAACCACCAGGAACATTTTGAGAGTTTTTTTTTTTTGTTTGTTTTTGTTTTCAGCATTTTGCTCTGCATTTATATCTCAAGGGATCAATTAATGTGTTCCGTGCCCTTGGTTGTAGTTTACATACAAATCTATGTTTCCCCTTTTGTTCCTAAAGCAAGCAGCTGAAGTTGTTCAGCCACTTAAAAATAGAAATAAGTGGTAAAAAGAGGAAGAAAAATGAACCTTGTGAGGGTTTGGTTTGAGTGAAATGATGAGTGGGAGCCACTTGGAGAACGCACAGGGACCGTGGCCGGGAAGGAGCGGGCCCCTCCTGAGCTCTCGGCCATTCATCCCAACACCTGCTCTCCCTGTTTCTTTTGCAGGCAGCAACTTGAACGATGGCTTGTGGCATTCAGTCAGCATCAACGCCAGGAGGAACCGCATCACTCTCACCCTGGATAACGATGCAGCGTCCCCTGCTCAGGACACCAGCCAGATACAGATTTATTCTGGAAATAGCTATTACTTTGGAGGTAAATTACTCAGCTTTGAGGCTGAAAATAAAGGAGAGAGGGAGAATTTAGTGGGCAATTATTTTACTATGATGAGTCTTCCTTTGTCAATTAGACCATACTTCCAACACACTCATATTCACACACACTCACTCACACAGGTGCCACCTCCCCAAACATACAGAGAGGCACAAACACCCACCCCCAAGCCCAAAATAATGGGAAGCAAGCCCTCTCACAGCTGTGCAGATATAAATTATCTAGGTCAGTGCTGAGGAAAAAAAGACTAGCAACAAGAGCTGGTGTTATGTAACTCATCCACAGGAGATTTTTATAGCACAGCAGGCTCCCTGATCACATTCGAAAGGGGAAACTCAGCTGTAAACTTGGAGAAAGCACCACCAGTCAGCAGTGCCTGAAAGAGGAAGTATCCAGGGGAGAACGCACAGCCAGCACACTCACCCACAAGGCCACTCCTCTGGCACCTACTGCCTCTGTCTCCACCTCCCTGGAGGCCATGCCCATGAGGAAGACCTAGGAGGCCCATGAGCAAGTAGCTCCTTGTGGAGCAGCCAGAGACCCCACCCTCTCCAATGTTGGGTGAATCCTCGGAGCTTTTTCTACAGCAAAACACAGGCAAACAGCCCTAGCTGGATTGGCTCAGTGGATAGAGCGTTGGTCTGCGGACTGAAGGATCCCAGGTTCGATTCCAGTCAAGAGCACATGCCTGGGTTGCAGGCTTGATCCCCAGTAGGGGGTGTGCAGGAGGCAGCTGATCAATGATTCTCTCTCATCATTGATGTTTCTATCTCTCTCTTTCTCTCCTTTCCTCTCTGAAGTATACACACACACAACAGGCAAACAGGTAAAGATTTAAAAAAAATAAAAACACAAGCATACATGTAATTAGCCACCTATTGCATTTTTATAGGTGCAGATATATTTTTATTTAGTCTTTTTCAAGGAATTTCCTTCATTAAGAAAAATAATATCTAATTTTCTGCCCATGTGTTTATATTTTAGAAGCCATCTCTAAAGAGCACTTAACCTCAGTGTCTGTCTGACCATGAGAAAGACACTTATGGGCCCTGAATTTCCCCATATAGGCGATGAGAGACAGAGCAGAATTGTTGGGACAGTTCCCTGGGGTCAAGGTTTACATGCCTAACACAGGGCTTCCCATCTGGCAAGGAATGGACAAACTGGCTTCAGACATTGTAAATATAGGCATGGACTGAGCCTGGTCTATGGTTACCAATCCTTTTTCCATGAGGAAACTGAAGAGAAATGGTGTGTAAAATCATAAAGTGCAGTCTCCAATAGAATTTACAAATCACTTTTCTCAGACCAGTGGCATGTGGTTAAGCTTTGAAATATAAGAGATACTTTGCACAGAAGCAGTACACACATGGGGCTGTCCCAAGAGGGAAGCAGTGGGAGCCATCATTTATTTGCGCTTTGATTTTAGGGCCTTAGGAAGGGACTCTGTCCCTCACTCTACATCTTCTCCACGTGTACATGACAACAAAGTCCTTAAAGGGAGAACACTTCTGTTCTCTGCAAGTGTTTTAGCTCACTTAATTCATGTGGTGACTTTGTGAAGTAGGTAACAGTAGCCCCGATTCACAGAAAGTAAGAGTGGTGTTTGCTTAGATGAAATTATTTGTGTGAGTAGCAGAACCAGGATTCACCCCCAGATCTGTGTTCTCCACAACATACAGCAAAGGGATGCCAACTCATGTAGCACAAAAGCGAGTAATTTTGCATCACATGCAACGCTTCTAACAGAGAAAAGTGATCTCGTATTTATTTTTTTGAAAAGTGCTGAGCAATAATTATGATGTGTAGCACCTGAATGCCTCAAAGTAAAAATGCCCCCTGCCCCAGTTGAAGAAGTATCCCTGGAGGTGATTCTTGAGGGCACTGCACTCATAAGGTAAAGATGAATCTGTGATTTGAGCAGCGTTTGAAAAAAATGTCCCACAAGTAGACTGTAAACTTAAGGAAGGTAAAAAACGAGGTTGAGTAATAATAGTCAACTTACATAAATTCTCTCTACAGCCTCAATTAGAAGTCGTAACATTTCTCTTCACTTTATAGTGTGTGCTTGTGGGCTGTTAACCAGCTGCCAGACTTCAGCCCAGCAGTGACTGTCTATTAGAGATGGCGGAAATAATTCCCAGTTATTTATGGGTTATTGCCATGTTTTCAAGCTTGCATTCCCATATGGTCTGAACCTATTAAGACAATTAGGATGTAGTTTATAAGGTGCTCAAGCACTGATATACCTATTCACTCTCTACCTGTCTTGATGAGGAGTAGATGCCCAGGTGGCAGGCTATGCTAAATATACATGATGCATTGTTTTTAAAAGAACACCTTTGTAAAAATGTATGGTGCTAACCTTTCGCGCCTGCTATTACAGCCCAATAACTGTGTGCATTTAAGCCCTTAGTCCCTTTAGTGTCTGGATTTAGTTTGCACAACACTTCAAAATTCCAGTTATGTTTCTACATGTACCTTTGTCAGGTGCATTTAGTCTGTTAATGCTGACAATTAACCAGATAACCACTCTGTCACCATCCTTACCCAAAGCATAATTTCCTTTGAAAGTTAATCCAGAATTGAATTGTGCAGTTAGAAGTGTGTTTCAGGACAGAGCCGACATCCCTGGGTAGTGATAAAGTGCTGTGTTCTTGAAATGAGTGAAGTGCCCCAGGCAGAAGACTGGCACACAGCTGATGCAGGGAAAAATGAAGAACAAGATGCATGTCACGGCGTTGGTAGTCCCTTCCACACTTTTGGTTTTAGCTCTGTACAGTGATGGAGGTTGCCCCCTTTTGAACCAATTCTGTCCCCTCTCTGAAAATGCTAGGATTTACAACTAAACTGTGTGCACTTCTGTGAGTGAAAAAGCACCACAATAATTAGACCTCAAGGTCTCCCATGGATAGGTCGCCAGAGCAGTGACTGATCAGCTCAGTGTTCTTCATTTTTTTTCTCTGTCCCACAGGCTGCCCTGACAATCTCACCGCTCCCCAATGCTTAAATCCTATCGAGGCTTTCCAAGGCTGCATGAGGCTCATCTTTATTGATAACCAGCCCAAGGACCTCATTTCAGTTCAGCAAGGCTCCCTGGGGAATTTTAGTGATTTACACATTGATCTGTGTAGCATCAAAGACAGGTAATTATTGCCTCTTCTCCTCTGTTCTCCCACCCCCTCTTCCCATTCTCACTGTTCTAAATATGTGCTCTTTAAGCAAAATTCTAATCCACGGACTTTAGCCACTTTAGATATAATTGAGTTGCCTAATGGAAAATATCTCTGAAATGATTTCAGATCCAGAGAAAAACGGTTTAAATTAGTTGAGTCTCTATTCATGTTGACTTGAAGTAAATGGGATATGCAAGTTAAATCAAACTACAAATTTGTGAAAGGATTAAAGTTTTGTGCATAAACGCCACTTGATGACTTTGAAGTTAAGAGTAAAGTGAAGAGGAGGAAGGAATCACTTTTTCCTCCTAAACCATCTTGTTTTTCAGTGCAGTAGGTGTCCTCTCACATGGGGTGAGCCTTGGGCCCTCTGGGTCCCTAGAGTATAGGTTGGGCAGTGCCCACTGTACACAGACAGGCCCAGAGCCCGGCCTTGGCTGTCACTGTCCCTCAGTCTTTTCTTCTGGGGCTCAGCAGAGGCCAGACCCTGTCAGGGAGAACCCGCACATTCACTGCAGCCACACATCCTGCAAGAACTCTGTGTCTCTCTTTCTCCTGGGATCTGGCTCCTTTTATATTGGAAGTTTCTAGATTCAAAGACACACTGCAGACAATTAAAAAGGATGATGCTGAATTTTCAACTAGGTTTGTCATGTTCCCCAAATTTTCTTCTCTAGTGCTTGCCTCCTTCTCTCTAATTCTACTCACCCTGGTTAAAATACCATCTATTAAATGGGTGAATGATGTGTGTTAGTTGCAAGCCTATGTGTTAGTGAAATAAGGTCTTTACTCAATTTTCATCAGGAAATAAATTAGCCATTACAGTGAAGGGCAATAAATGACCAAGAAGTCACCTTATTTGTAGGACATATGGCAACAGCAACTTAGCCTGGCACAGGGAGAATGAGGGCAATATGGTTTTCAGAAAGTGTGCAGAGCTGAATCTTATAGGACAGGGAGGCCTGGCTGAGGGGGGAGGGGTGGAGGAAGAGTTGACAGGAGGCAGTATGTCAAATGGCACAGAAATAGGAAGGGTCATGCTTGCAAGTATTTCATCAATTCAATACAAATATTACAGATTCATTTTAAAATCTGTAATACTTGGATACATTTTAGAGCTGATAGTAATAGTTTAATTGGCAACATTTACTTATCTTATTGGCATATAAAATAGTGGCATGTCTTAGAAATAATGGTATATTAGATTTAATAAAATACAGCTCAGTGAGGATGGCAGGGCACTGTGGTGCAGCACATGGTGAGAATATGGGGGTCAGTATTAACATGAAGAACTTTGAGTGCCCATGGAATTTGTCTTCATGCTCTAGGCAAAAATCAGAAAGGACAGCAGTCAGACTGCCTACTGAAATAGTACTCAGGAAATAGTAAGAAAGATGGCTAGAAGGAGAGCCATCCCTGAGCTTGAGGTACTGCCCCATTCCGGGAGAGCAGTGAGAAGTAGTAGGTCCCTCTCTGAGCACAAAGTCAGCTACACAGATCAGTCTCCTCTGATGCTCAGAATGACCAGTGTGGTTTGGCGGACCTTTATGAGAATGTATCTCTGCTAATACCACAACACACGAGATGGCCATCGAATGGCACAGACTTCCTGGCTCTTCTACTTCATCTTTTTTTCTTATATATATTTTTATTGATTTCAGAGAGGAAGGGAGAGAGAGAGAGAGAGAGAGAGAGAGAAAGAGAGATCAATGATGAGAGAGATTCATTGATTGGCTGCTTTCTGCATGCTCCCCACCGGGGATCGAGGAGCCCTCAACCCGGGCATGTGCTCTGACCAGGAATCAAACCGTGTCCTCCTGGTTCATAGGTTGATGCTCAACCACTGAGCCACGCCAACTGGGCTGGCTTTTTTCCTATTTGACCGGACATCTGGGTAATAAAATGTGTGCTTCACCACAATGTGCTCATGTCGGGACCTGAGCATAAAAGATACTACACATAGTGGCTGCCGCCCCTGTAGTCTTTACTAACCATGAGCTCTGTCAGGCAGCACAGCCTTTGCAAAGTGTAGATCAATAGAGGAAGCATTTATCAACGGAATCTCCAACCATACCTTAATTTCTAATCAAGGAAGCTCTCATTTTTGCTGACAGAAAGTCATTGCCATCTACACTGCATCATTACTTTTGTGTGATTGTAGTCTGTGTAATTGTATTACACACAATTGTGTTTTGGTTAATTGTACAATAATAAGGCATTGTGCTTAGTTTTGTGGGTAAATGGTATATTTTTCTTCATTTGCCAGACAGTGTCTCTAACAGAAGGGAAAGCCATGGTAAAAGGCTTTGCTTAATTAATTATCTCTTGAACTTACATTTAATATTTGTTGGAAAGGGGCATGGTTTCTGAGTTTTGTGTTTTATTTTTAATGTGTTAATTAACATAAGCCTAGTTTAAGGGCAGGCTCAGTCTTTGCCTTCAAGGATCTTGCCCCTTGAGGATGGGGTGGTTGTGGTAGCAGAGATGGGGTGGAGTGGAGTCTGACTGTTTTTCTTGTGTTCTTGTCTGGAAAGTTCATGGAGGGCAGGCTTTGATCTGGCCTAAGAGTCTCTTCTCTCCCAGACCAGGCTCCTCTCTGCCCCTTCCTCATGGACTCTGTATGGAGACCCAGGCCTCCTCCTTGGCCTCGAGAGGCTGCCCTACCCACCCCTCCTGCCTTCCCTCAGACTGCTCTCCTGAGCTGTGCAGAGGGGCCAGACTTCCCTGCTCCCATTCCATGCAGCCATCTTTCACAGGCAAAGGCTCCTACTGCTGGTCATGGTGGGGAAACCAAGGTAGCCTGCACAGAAGAAGCACATAATGTTATGAAATGGTAAGAGCTTTCTCCAGTGGGGGTCCTTCAGGCATGTTCCCTGGAGATGGTGCCTAGCTCTGCTTGCCCAGCCTGTGCAATGCTTTGAGAGGAAGCAGAAGTCACACCTGAGAAAACCCATTAATTCACAAACCATTCTTGGGACAATGCTTTTTGTTGAAGCTGGAAGCATCCCTTCCTAGGGACCAAGGACCTAAATAACAATTTTTTATCTTAATAATTGGAAAATCCCAAATTCTCTGGCCTTGGGGAAGAAAGGTCGTGGCATCCCTGGCCTGGCTACAGCTCTGACAACAGGAAAGTGCTTGCTTTAAGAAGCTCCAGCTGCAGAGCTGCCCCGTGTCTGGCAGTGCAAGGGCAGGTTGGAGAAGGCAGCCAAGCACTCTTGGAGGAATTGCAGTTGGGGCCAGAGGGGTGCACTCCCAGCATGCACTTGCACTGGTCTGCCTAAGCCTCAGTATGGACTTGAGATAGGCAAGACATGATAGTCTAAACTATCATAGAGCCAAGTCACTCTCGATAAATGCTTTATTCCTTCCACAACTCTTTATCACACCCTCAGTTATTCGGCCATACAGATGGGCAGTGGGTGAATGGGTGAGGCAGTCTCATGTATACACTGGAGTAAGATAAGATGTGCTGAGAGCTGTACAAGCCATGGGATTTCAGGGCGAAAGAAACAATCATCGAATGTGGTCTAAGAATTTAAATAGGAGACGGGGTCCAAGGTGGGGAGGAACAAAGGGATGCTGATGAGTCAGCTGTCTGACATGAGAGGAAGTGGAAGTCACACCTGAGGAAATCCATTAAGTCCAGTGTGACTGCCAACAACTCTGAGCAATAGTAAGCCTGTTTAATTCTCAGTCCACTACTCATCAACTTGGATGACACATATTATTTAACCATTTTTTATTCTTTATTGATTAAAGTATGACATATGTCTCCTTTTTCTCCCATTGACCTCTCCCCAGCCACTCCCACCCCCCAGCACATGCCCTCACCCCCCTAGTGTCTGTGCCCATTGGTTATGCTCATATGTATGCATACAAATCCTTTTAATCTATGTTTTCTCTTTTGCACAGCCAAGCTCATAAAACCTTCCTTTGCACTGAGCATGAGCCTGTGAGAAGCAAGGGCTCAGGGGTGTGTCTAATGAGCAGATACACAGTAAATGTTGCCATGTGAATTCCCATGGTGAAAAGTTTTCTAACTCTACTTTCCAAGGGAACAGGAGAAACCCACGTCTCCCTCCAAAGCTCCCCCAGCCCCCACCATGGCCAAGGGATCCCCAGTAGTTTGTGGGGTGGATCCCCATAGATATACTGCCCATGTGCTCTCTAATCTGTCTGCTCAGTGACTCCCTTGGGCTTTGATCCCCACTTATTCAGAGGGCTGTCTCCTGGAAAACCATTCACCACCCATTAGGAACATTTGGTGCCAAGGGGGTTCTGGTCATTCAATTCTTCTAAAGCATTGGCCTCAGGGCCTAGAGAGAGTGACAAAAGCATGTGATATGCCTAGGACACCCAATTTAAGGTGGTCCCTATTTCCAAATACATATGCATATGCAGACAGGACCTGGAAGTGAATGCCTCCTTAAATTTTGTAGGTCAATTCCAGCATAGGTACATCAGAATCCTCAGAAAGGTTTCTCAAAATCCCAGTTGCTTGGTACCATCCCTAGAGTTACTGTGAAGACCAATAAAATTTACATTTATTTCAACTTTCCGGGTGCTGCTGTGCTGGCCTTGGGACTAGACTTTGAGAACCACTGCCCTAAAGCTTTTCTCATCCTGAAGGCCAGCAAGTTGCGTGGATTCTGTACAAAAGGGGTGCAAGGGCACAGGAGGGGTGGCTGTGGCTCCAGCTGAGCCCCCCAGCAGCTCTCCTCCTCATCAGGGTCTCACGGGCTCTGAGAAGTCCTGGAAGCTCTGTCTTGATGTCCTTCTCCAAACAGGTGCAGAGTTCAGTCTAAGGGACACTGGGAGTCAACTGAATCCCCACTCCTCCAGGCATCCCTGGTCTTTGTCACTTATGAACCCCCGCCCCCTGCTTCCCACTACAAAGGAAGCTTTTATGGCTATAAATAAGCAAAAATCCTCAGAGGATATTTTGGTTGGAAGGGAACTTGGTCTTA